AGACTAGTGACACTTATACAGCAAGCTGTGCCTTCTCCTCCGTGTCATCAAATATAATTTTTTTTTTTTAAAATACAGATTTGTTGTGTACAAGAAGTACTACTATAAGTTAGGTTAGTTAGTTGCGTATCCTTTACAGGACGTTGCAAAACCAACGCCAGCAGCCCCTGTCTGTTGTGTGGTTTCTCTAGGCACATTTACGTCCAGTAGTTTGTCATTGCTTTCTGGGCGGTCGGCTTTTTTGATACCACTATCGAAACCAACGCAAGGCGCATTGCCCGCAGCTGGGATCGAACCCGGCATCCCGGCATTACGAAGCGTTCGCATAGATTTAGCCAGAGAGCCGACACTATTATAAGTATGTCATCAAAAATAAAATTACTAAATACTATACAGACTGCGACAAGAAAGCTAAACGGGTGGACTGGAGAGGACGCGCAAAAATACTGCCCAACATTTCGACCCAAGTCTGCGTCAATTGAGCACTAAATTCAACGCAAACTGACTATAAAATTCAACGCAAACTGACTATAAAATTCAACGCAAACTGACTATAAAATTCAACGCAAACTGACTATAAAATTCAACGCAAACTGACTATAAAATTCAACGCAAACTGACTATAAAATTCAACGCAAACTGACTATAAAATTCAACGCAAACTGACTATAAAATTCAACGCAAACTGACTATAAAATTCAACGGAGACAGTAGAGCGTAGAGACATGGTTAAACGTCAACATAAAAAAAGTTAATTGTCAGTTTTCTAATAATTTTTAGCTTCATATCTGTCAGTATGTAATATTAACACTATAGTATTATACTCTCCAGTGGTGGTAATAGTTACAACAAAATCCTGTTCAACTCTCAGGGTTATAATTGGGATATAAAGTGTTTTTATAGTCACAGTTTATAAGGACACATTCACAGTTTATAGTGTACTTAATAGTTCTTGTGTGATGACATATTTATAATATTCCCCAGTAAATAAAATGAACAATCGGATATCAGCAAGTTGAAATTTAAATAAAAATTTACCACTTTAAAACAATTCCAAAAAATATTAGGAAAATATTAACAACACAACAAAATATATGTATGTATAAGAATAACATGTAACTAACACAAAAGCAAGCAGATTCCGCGATGTTAGCAATCCTCAATGCACGAACACCAGTTATAATGAATATAGCCTTCTTTGAACGTAAAAGAAATTTAGGTCACACTTGTTTCAGTAGGTGTGGTCGAATTCTTTTAAATTCCTGTTAATGAAACACTAAAACCGTTCCACAGATTGATCAAGAGTCGTTTCCTGTTCAACTGGGTAACAGTTTTATATTCCGGCACAGCAGAGGAACTGAGAATGACACTTTCATTCATCTCTCACTCACAAGACTCTGTGTGTAAACGGCTTCTCCGTGTGTCGGCGTGTGTACGGTCGCTTTCATTAATGACGTCTTTAGAACTGGACCAAAGAACGGGTATATTTTTTTTTAAAACCACATTGCACAGGTCAAAGGGAGTCAACTCATATTTTGGTTGAACCCAGATAATTTAACACTGAGTAAACTAAACATCAACTATTTATAAATTGTCAAGGTCAGGTAGAGAGTCAAATAATAACGGTTAATATATTATCATATTTTACACTTTAGATTTAGTCGGGAAATCTGGGGAGTTTTTGTTTAAATTGGTTTATACACTCAATTAATCACGTCTCCACATGTAATAACAGCTACAATGATTTTCTGACACATACTACGACCTAGCAATAGGTGCTTCGTCCTTTTTAGGACGAAATTTTTTGTTATTTGAAGCCCCACCCTGGTTTTTTGCCAGGGGCCGCAATATAGGCAGGCCATAAATATGGCCAATTGTCTGAACGCGGTTTCTGGGACCTCTCCACGGCGATCCTCATCCACGTGGTGGCGCTTTGTGTCATCGGGTGTTTATCGCTTGTGTGATGTCCTAGTGGGGTAAAAAGTCAGTCAGTCAGTCTCTCCTTATAAATCTAGTAAACTCTTTGTGGGATGCACATTTTTAGTTATTTGAAGCCCCACCCTGGCTCTTTCCAGGGGCCGCAATATAGCCTTACCATAAATATTGTCTAGTGGCTGAACGTGGTTTCTGGGACCTCTCCACGGGTGATCCTCATCCACATGGTGGCACTCTGTGTCATCTGGTGTTTATCGCTAGTGTGATGTTTTAGTGGGGTAAAAATCTACTCTACTTCTACTCTGTCCTTATCAATCATCACTCTACTGAGATGCAATTCCCCCCCCCCCCCTTTTTTTTTTTGGAAGCCCCACCCTGACTTTTGCCGGGGGCCCTGAATATAGCTGGGCCAAAATTGTGGCCATAACGGCTGAAAGGGGTTTCTGGGACCACTTCACGGGTGATTCTCATTCGCAAATGGCACTTTGTGTCACCAGATGTTTATCGTTTGTGTGGTGTCCTGGTGGGGTACAACAAGTAAGTTGTCTCTCCGGAGAGTATATATCATATGAGTAGTCACCTCTTTAAATGAAATGTTTCGTTATTTTGAAGGCCCCCCCCCCTTCCCCCCTGGCTGTTGCCGGGAGTCCTAGTATAACCTAACGGTTGAACGGTGTTTCGAAGACTTCTCTACGGAGGATCTTCCTCCGCATGGTGGCACTTTGTGTCACTGAGTGTTTATCGCTCTATATGATATCCTGGTGGGGTAAAACTTACCTTACCTACTTACTCCAAGGAGTCGCCGTGGTGTAGCCACTACACGCTCGCATGCTCGTTCAAAAGTTACCTGTGATGAGTCATGTGATGAGAGCGGCGTTCTGCAAAGGACCTGCCACATAATGATGATGGTCTCAGCGATTCTCATTTTTTTTTTTGGGGGGGGGGGGGGGTTAGTTGGTTATTTAGAAGTACAGTAGTAAGCTTTGCTTTCAGCTCTTTAAAAATAGAAACAGCTTTAGCGTGGAATAAACAAATTAAAATTGTTTTGTCTTAATAGTACAATTTTAACGACCAATAATGTATGTTGCGTGTTCTAGAGTCAGCAATCTCTATGTATGCGCAGACGTTGCTTGAAAAATCAACCATTTTAGACACGTGCGCTTTCTAGCTTCTTTCTGTTCTTTTTAGTCAAGCTGAGCCACAGCAAAGCGTGGCCTGGTACAGCTAGTGTAATAAAAGTCAAAAGAGCTATTATAGGATATGGAAAATATCCAACAGAAGATAAAGACTAGAATAGTCGAATGCTCAGATAAGACCATCAGGTGGGTTGCATCTATGAACTCGCATGTCAGTAGCAGGTTCTTCATGGCTCCCCATAGCGTGCTCTGTACACTTTGCTTCTGAGGCCAGGTGTCTTTTCGAAGTTGTTCGTGGAGTGGGCAGGTCTGCAGAATGTGCTCAGGTGTTTGTTGTCCTTTTTGACAGACACACTGTGGGGACTGTACAGTTTTTATTTTATGCATGTGATAGTTGAGCCTGCAGTGTCCTGTTCGTAGACGAAAAATTGTTGTATGTTGCTTTCTGCTGAGTCTGCTAATGGGTCTTGTGGATGTTTACTGTTAGTTTGTTCTCTCCACAATTCCGTGTATTTTCCCTTGATAAGTCTTCTGATTTCTGGTAATGACAATGAATGTGTGTATTGTTTCTCCTTTGTTCCATTTTTAGCAAGTCTGTCTGCTAACTCATTTCCTGGTATGCGGCAGTGAGCCAGGATCCATTGAAGAACAATCGGATTATTTTCTGCAAGTCTATTTAGCTGGCGGGTCAGTTCTCTTTCCATGTTATATCGCGGATCCCTCTGAGTCGCCTGGAGGACTGACATGCAGTCACAAAAGAAAACAAATTTGCTGTTTTTGATATTTCTTTCCTCAAGAACATTGAATGAATCAATAATTGCTTGCTGCTCTGTCCTGAAGATTGTTGAGAGTTTTCCAGAGGCGCATAATGTTTCTACTGTGGTCTCGTCTTGCAGCATGATGACCGATCCAGCTCCTCCATTTTTGTTTCTTCTCCCTTCAATGATCCATCGGTGTATACGTGCGTCCATTCGGGTTTTGGATAACAGTTGTAGACATGTTCGAGGATCTTTGCAAGCAGTACCATGTGACATTCTTCAGCCTTTCTGTCTTTGCTTGGAATTGTTGTTTTGATTGTATAGTTAGGCTGTAGGTCTATGCTGTATGCCTTGATCATTTCCCATGAGGAAGGATCTTTATAAAAGATGTCACTGTGTTTTGTGTAGTACAGTGTTTATAGATAGTGAAAGCTCGGCTGACTTTCCTTTCTTCATATGTTTAATAGCATCAATGACTTTTTCCTTTAGTGTAGGCGGACCTTTAAAATTTCTTTCTTCTGGTAATTCTGTTCTCTTTCTATCATATAACATATATATTACAACATCTTCCTCCATTAAGATCTTCCTTGTTTTTTATTTCAGACACCCTCTGTTTAGTCTTATCTTTCATAACACACGAACTGATATGAGCTGCAGTACATTGTAGATGTCTGAGAGCCTTAACCGCCCAAGCAAGATGGCAAGACACTTGCTAATGATGAACTGGTCGAAAAGGGAAGGGAAGTAAATGTAAGGCCAGCCCGATTGTAGGTAGGGCAGGACTGCCAATGCTGGGTTTTCCCTACAGATCTGGGTTTTTATTTAACGCCTTGGGGAAATCTGGTTTTTTTTTTTTTAAACATATCCTTATATAAAAGTGGTAAATGTTTCGTTTCGTAACTATAAATTTTGTACATTTTAACAATCTGGGTTTTTAATTTTGTCTTTTTGTTCTTTGTCTATGTATTGCTTGGGTTTTTGTTTAGCGAAGCTTGGTTTAAAAAAAAAATCCCATTGGCAGCTCTGGGTAGGGGAAACAACTCTACAGTTACTGGCCGCTAATGCCATTAGTAATGGTTGCAACAGGGACAAACGATTGAAGGCGGAATCTTTTTTGATCTCGAATTGTTTCTCTAGAGACTTCTTTGTAAATATAACCAGACTGCTAGATATGAGTGACTCTCAGCCATCTACTCCTCGAAAAACTGAAGCTACAGATACACAGACGGTTGTGCTGAATAAAGTACAAGATCGCGATGAACAGGTCTTCCATTTTTTAATGTTGTTTTTTTGTGTTTCCTGTCAGTTTCTGCCTGGGTAACGTCTGTTAGTAGTGTCAGAGTAAAATAATAATATTGTATAATTTCGCTGGAATACAGCTTTTACTAGCTTGTCATACATTCGCACCATTAGAACTACTAATACCTGTATATATGGTGTCAATATTTCTAAGTAATATACTATTGACATTGTTTGCCAGTTAAGATGACATAAAGATAATACCGAAATGACATAAAGATAATGCTGAAATGAAACAGAGATAATAACAATTTATACACTAATATTTGTTATATGATAAAAAAAGGAAGAAGAAAAAAAAAAAACAGTCAATGTATGATCATATCAATGTACCATATGTATTTAAAATACTACTTACTACTTCAGTGAATTGAACTGTCAGTACCATTTTTTAAAACTGCCTTTGTCCTAAACAGTTGTTACTTACAGTTAAAGTAATACAAGAAGAAATGCTAGCTAAGTTTTATATATTGGGTTTTTACTTATGAAACCATCAAAGCTACAGAGAGATTAAAATTACAAATCCATTGATACCTCAGTGAAGTCTGTAAGTCAGTTCTAAGCAGAGACATTATCATTTTCGTGTCGGATAGCACCATAGGAATTAAAAAGTACCACACCTTTAGGCGTATAAGGCATATAGTGCTAAACCTATATTTTTATAGACCAAACGGCACATGATGGGTGATGTAGTCAGCATCACGCCGGCTTCCTTTACTTCCCGGGACTTCACCAGGTACCCACTCAACAACCTGAGAGTCAAGGTCATTTTTGAAAAAAGTCTGGCTCTGCCAGGGAGCGAACCCATGACCTTCCCATCTGCAAACGATCGTCTAGCAGCTACGCCACGATGACTTTCCGGATACCACCATAGACAAAAACGAATATCATCATCATGAAACCTCTGCAGAATGTCACTGTGATCACGGTCTGCATAAAAGAAACTCAGTCTCTTGCCATCTCTACCCCTGTTGCACTTTCCTACCCAAGGTTTCACATATATATCCTGTACCCATCTTTGTGCTAGTCAGCCCCGGCCCCTCTTTCCATGTATCATACCGTCTGTTATTTTTTTTTTCCAGTCTGCCATGGCGTTTTAAAGGACCAAATTATTTCATTTTCCGAGACAAGTTGCTGTTTACTAGCCAATCTTTCTTGATGTTCAGATCTTTTCATATGGTAATCTTTATTTGCTTCTTTGTCCATGGTATTTTTCTTCTTCTTCTTTGCGTTCACCAGATGTACACTCTGGCGGAAAGTTCTGGTTGCTTGTCCATTACTGAAGTGCAGTCCTGCTCCAGAACCTGAGTGTTGCGTGTGCATCAGTTTTACAGATCTCATTCTCTTGAATACAGACTGTTGGTTCCTTGCCTCTCCGGCAGATGCACTCCGACTTCAAAGGAAGCTCCCCAATTAGGAGGCAGTGGGTCTATTCTTGTTTTCCCCACAATGGGGCCCCGGAACCTACACAGGAACCATGGTATTCGGATATTCTCTCTATAGCATTTCAGCTCAAAAGCCCTCATTTTCTTCCTTGAAAGGAATGTGAAAGCCACACACAAAAAAAAAGGAATATAGCAAGTGTTTATCTGGTAAACACACATTTGAGTCCATACTGCTGCTATAGAATTTATATGCTCCATTTAAAAAGAAAAAAGTCTTTATAGAGCAAGAGTATCAGCTTCATTGCACAGGGTTTTATATCACTGGCTCAGTCTCTCCACAAGTACTATACATTTGTATTGGAATGTTAGAAATGAAGTGATTAACATACTTGCCTTTACAGTGGCTGGTCATGTGTTTGAATCCCCTGTTGTGTGTTTGAATCCCCTGTTGTGTGTTTGAATCCCCTGTTGTGTGTTTGAATCCCCTGTTGTGTGTTTGAATCCCCTGTTGTGTGTTTAAATCCCCTGTTGTGTGTTTGAATCCCCTGTTGTGTGTTTGAATCCCCTGTTGTGTGTTTGAATCCCCTGTTGTGTGTTTGAATCCCCTGTTGTGTGTTTGAATCCCCTGTTGTGTGTTTAAATCCCCTGTTGTGTGTTTGAATCCCCTGTTGTGTGTTTGAATCCCCTGTTGAGATGGAAGTTTAAAAAAAAAAATTTTTACATGGGCTCCTGAGAAATAATTGCCAGGAAATGTTCTATGTGGAAGAGAATCCTTTATTAACTTAACTTTGTACATTTCTATAAAGTATCTGTGAATAAGATCAAGCACACTTTTGTGATTTATTTTGTTTATGAGCTATATATTTTTTATATTGTCAGCTCAACACTCTTTCTTTGAGACTGTGGATTTATGACAACCGTCTCCTACTGCTTTTGTCACTCGCTCTCTCCCTCTCTCTCTCTCTCTCTTCTCTCTCTCTCTCTCTCTCTCTCTCTCTTTCTCTCTCTCTCTCTCTCTCTCTCTCTCTCTCTCTCTCTCTCTCTCTCTCTCTCTCTCTCTCTCTCTCTCTCTCTCTCTCTCTCTCTCTCCTCCCATCTCTACACACACATAAAAATAATGAATAATAAAATTAGAACATTGGGATTATTTTCAGGGTAACCCAGTTCTCCAGCTGCGACTACAGCAGTCCAAGAATGATCATAAAGTGAAGTGGACGACTGACACTGTGGACAACGAGCTTCTGGGAAAGAAGAAATCCAAGTGTAAGAGCATTCTGCTTTTCTGTCTTCTATTCTATATCCTCTTCATGTCGCTGTTGACACATAAGGCATTCACAAGTGATCTCCACTGCTGCCGGTCTGCTTCTTGTCTGCCCATGGTATCCCATGTCCGTTTACATTCCTTGATTTCACAATCTCCTGTCCTTCTCAATGTTTCCTTAGGTCGTCCACGTCTCATTTTCCTATCTGCTGTCCACCGGAGAGCTGTTTTTGCCAGAGTGTCACAAGGCATTCTGCAAACATGTCCAAGCCATCTCCATTGTCTTACTCTGATAACATTTGCCAGTGATGCACATTCTGTTTTCCTTCTCAGTTCTACATTTGTGATCTTGTTTGGAGAAATCCAAGTGTAGGAGTATTCTGCTATTTTTTTCTTCTAATGTGTAATAATTATTGAACAATTACAAGAAAGTGGCAAAGATGGGGTTTTATAGACAAAATGGAAATGTGAGAACACTTGGACAGATAAGAGTAATGAAGGTGTACTGTAAAAAATTAACTGAGGAAAAGTATTTATTAACAACATCAGAAAGAGACAGTCTTCATTCTTTAGTCAGGTCAGAAAACTTGAATACAGGGTGATGGTGGAAAAGTATGAGGAGTAGAGGGAGACTGAGAGAAAAGATGCTGCACAGTTTGACGGCATGGCATGAGAGACCGTCTGTGTCAGAAATGATGGGAAATACATGAGATAGAAGGCTGCGGATAGATATGACTACCAAGAAGAATAAAGTAAGTAAAAGTAAAGTAAGTAAAAGTAAAGTAAAGATCCCTTGCCACGCCTCTAGGCGTATCAGGCATACTGTCTTTACTTTCCCAGGACAGCCCATCCTGGTACCCACTTTAGGCTGGGTCGACCTGTGACGCCCATACCATGATAAAAATCCACGCAGTCAGCTGTGGGTTTCAACCGCGGTATGCTGGATTACGAGTCGGACTCACAACGCCTAAGCCTCGGACGCCGCTATAAGAGGAATAATGTGTAGTATTTTTCCTTCCTCATCAAAAACCGTCAACACTCGAATATTTCCGTAAACCCTTGTTGTTTAGTACATTCATTTAACCCTTTCATCCTGAGAAGCTGCAAACTTGGCACTTCCTGTTGGTTTCAGTTCCTGGAAATGTCCCGAAACATGCCTGTTTATAGTGACCTTTTCCAAGGAGTGTAGTTTATTGTGATTGGTCCTATTTTGCGCCTGTACAGCGTTTAGTAGGCTTGGTGATGAATATATTTACTAAAAATAGCATCTATGGGGAAGGGGGAGGGGGGGGGGGGTTTGTAAACCAAACAGCTTTTCCTTAAGCCTCACTTATAGAGGTCATGTTTGAGTCACCCAGTACATATTTTTTTTTAAGGTCCAGGGGAATGTGTTCCATTGAATGCTTCATTCTGTTCATGTCAATTGATTACCCCTGTTATTTATCTTTATTTATTTCGAAAATAATACAGTACGAAGATAAATAAATAAAATAAAAAAATTATTAGGGACTCGTGTCAAATATATTTTTAAATTTTTTTTTTATTTTCAGGAGGTTGTGACCTTATTTATTCTTTTTTTTTTTTTTTTTTGGTGTTCCCGTATGACAGAATTAAGTCACAGAGCTTGCCCCTAGAAAATGTGTACAGACCTCAGCTGCATTGAAAATGTGCTGTGTGCTTGTACTGCTAACCTCTGACTCACATGCCCAGTGTATGGTAGACTTGTGTGGTGAGCATGTAAAACTGTTCCAGACTAATTGAGAAATAGGGACTTGTGGAAGGTCTCCAGCATTTACCCCCTTGTGCGTGTTACCCATGGTCCCAGAGGTTTTAAACCGTTCGCTTCCATGTGTGGGTTCTGGTGCCCAATGTAGTCAGTCAGGGGGATAGAACAGTCATCCACCCCCCCCCCCCCCCCCCCACACAGCCTTACCCTAACAAGCAAAAATATAAAAGGTATCTAATCAGGCTTTTGCTTAAATCAGATGTTTTGTATTAAAAAGTGTGTACACACAAACATAGAGAAAAACATAATTTTTTTGTTAGGCCCCTGACCTGAGCAGTAGCTTATTTAGCTTATATCTAAATGCAGCACTTATTTCTCTGCTTTCAGACAGAGGTTCTCCAACTCCCAAGTCTATCATCTGATGTCTTTCCTTTCTCTCACAGGCTGCTGTATTTATGAGAAACCCAAAGTATTTGGAGAGTCAGATACTTCTTCCAGCTCAGATGATGATGATGGTGACGACTGCACACCCCACTGCCGAGGTCACAAGAAGAAGTGCTTCCGGCGTAAAGGTCACTGCCATGACCATGAGGGCAAATGTGGCAATGACACAGGTGAGGAATGACAATTATATTTCCTTAAATTAGTGAGGCCTACTAGGTGGTTGAAAACACTGTGACTGGTCTAGCAAACCACCATGGCTTGTTTAGTGCTCGTAGAAAATATAGAGATCTCACATGTTATACAGATACAGTGGTAACAGATCCAAAGGTGGACCAGGCAGATTTGCAATTTGTAGAATTAATATGTCAGTGATGAGAATCAAACAGGTACAAATCACAGAAACCACATTCGTCCTTGTAGCTGTATAGCACAGTTATGTTGGGGTGCCACAGAACAGTTACAAAGTACCCTGTAGTCCAGTAGTGGGTGAGTATCATGAAGGAAATAGTTTATATCCTTTTTGACTGCACATATTCATACATTCTAGGCATTTACATTATAACACCCAGTAGGTTTTCTTCAGGGTCCGAATGCCACTGCCTGAGAGGCAAGGAGGCAAAGGACACACAAATAAGGCAGATCTATAAAATGGAACATAATAATCTATTTGTGCCTCCTTATGTGTCCAAAGGGCCTTGACCACAACCATCTTGCGTGCATAAATTCACCACCCGTTGGTGCACAAGATTGATTTTTCTATCACTAATAATCTGACAGGACTTTGTTTTATGTGAATGTTCATCAGCGACACCACAAGTTTTGTTTTCTATATCAAGGTTTACTATCAGAACTATAAGTATAATTTTCTATATCAAGGTTTGCTAGCAGTAACACTAGATTTGTTTTGTATCTGTAGGTTTGCTAAGAACACCACAATCTTTGTTTTCCTTATCAGAGTTTGCTAGAAACTATAACAGGATTTGTTTTGTAAATCAGGGTTTCCTAAGAGTAGAAAATTTGTGTTTCCAACAATACCACAAGATTTGTTTATTAGATTTGCATTATTTTCTGTAATAAGATTTGTTAGAAACACTACAAGTATCATTCTCTATATCGACGTTTGCTGGGATCACTACAAGCTTTTCCAGCAGAACCATAAGTTTTGTGTAGCAAGGCATACATCCAGTTTAGTTCACCAAGTCTCAGGGGGAATCCGAGAGTTCCAGGAAAAGTCTAGTATTATGGGAAAAGGGGAGGAAGAGGGGGAGGGGATTTAGGGTTAGAGTTATGCCGTGCTCATTTCAAACTGCAACACCCCTGTAATATTGGACTTTCCCTGGGAACTCTCAGATTCCCTGAGATGGGGTTAACTAAAATGAAAGTACCTACGAAGGCTTGCTAGCAGTGCTGCAAGCCTTTTTTCCCCCAGCAGCGTGATGTACTTTGCTTCGGAAGTCACAGGTGAAGAGCATTGTCTGGACCTTTTCTCCGGGGTATGCCGGAGTGTTGGGCAATGAACAGTCGGACCGACTGGCTGGCTGTGCATAACTTGACGGAATATTGATATATGATAAGGCAGACATGGTTAAAGCCTTATGGAAGCACTTGTACAATTCGGAGGTGCAAACGGATCTTCAAAGTCTGGTGAGAGTTATGTAGCAAGGAGTGACAAGAGGATCTCGCTGATACTTCAAAGCCCAGAGAAAAGGCAAGACTGACACATAATCAGACTGCTACTGGCATCATTGGTATTAGAACTCTGTGCTGGCTGCTGAAGATGGGGACGGGGCGCTTATGGAAATGCCCCAGGTGCTGTGATGTTGGCTACTGAATCAACTCAACTCTTAGTCTTATTACTGTTGATACTAGCAATCCGGATATTTATTTTATTGCTTCACCTTTTCCTGAATTTATCTCATTTACTATTTATCAATTTCTTCAAGCATTACTTATGGTTATTGTTTTTCTTCTTTTTTGTAGGTTCAAACAGTTACTGACACGCTGTTGAAGTTCTTGGTCCATGGGATTAGCAAATCAATGACAAAGATGTTTTAAAGATCTACCATGAATACATACTTTTGTGATATAAATGTTAAAGACCTGTTGTTATTAAGCCAGACATTTGTGAATGCCGATATTGTAGGCTATATTTAAAGAATATATTGTGGATCATATGCCAGGTTGTGCTTTTGACTTGCTTATTCATTTTTCTTTTTGGTTGTTTATTTGTGCCATGTTTATAAATCATATGTCATGTTACATTTTTCTTAGCTTTTGGTTAAAAGTGTGCCATATTCAAATTGCTACCTTTAAAACAGGTTTCATGAAGCATCTATGGGAATGCCCAGTATGCTGTGATGTTTGATGTTGATTCTTAACTCAGTTTCAGTGTAACATTTTTTTGTATTACTGGTTGCTTAAGGGAGTCACCGTGGCATAGCGGCTAGACGCTTGCGTGCGGATCGGAAGATCATGGGTTCGTTCCCTGGTGGAGCTGAACTATTTTCAAAAATGGCCTTGACTTCCAGGTTGACCCGCCTTGAGTGGGTACCGGGTGCAGTCCCGGGAAGTAAAGGTGGCCGGCGTGATGCTGACCACATCACCCATCTTGTGCCGATTGGTCTGTAAAAAATATAGGTCTAGCCCTATATGCCCTATATGTCTAAAGGTGTGGAAAAATGACCTTTACTTTACCTGGTTGCCTAAGAAGTTATGAAAAGACAAAAATATTGATAACACCCTCAAAAGGTCAAGCATTGGTAACACCTAGAGACAAAAGTGTTTAACTTAACAGATCAATTTACTTATTTGGGTAGTGATTTCATGCTGAAGGAAATAATTTATCATATGCATGTAGCAGGTCCTTTGCAAAATGTCGCTTCTATTACGGTCTGTCTGCACGAAACTCAGTCTCTCGCCACCTCTCCCGCCTCATGTACTTTTATACTCAAGGAGTCACTTAAATCCTGTGTCCATCTTCATGATGGTCGGTCCATGACCCTCCTTTCTGGTACCATGCCTTCTGCTATAATTTTTTCCAATCCGTTGTGGCGCTTAATATAACCAAAATATTTCAGCTTCCGAGACAGGATGCTGTTTATTAGCCAATCTTCCTTGATTTTCAGATCCTTCAAGATGTCAGTATTTCTCCTCTTCTTTGTCCAAGATAATCTGAGAATCTTTCTATAGCATTTCAGCTCAAAAGCCCCAATTCTCTTTCTTAATGACTGGGAAACAGACCACAACTCACATCGGTATGTTGCTACAGGGAAGATGTAAGGAAATACAAAGAAAGAAATTTTAACTCACATTGACCAGGCATTGGCGGCTTTTAACTCTTTCAGGACAACATTTTTTCTGGGGTTTGGACAGCGTTAATTTTGAGTGGAATTTTTTTTACTGCAACATGACAGAGCTTAAACCTTCCTGAATAAAAAGTATTGGCTATATAGGGACATATATATATGTATATAACTTGAACAAAATATGGAACTCTTAAATTTTAGAGTTTTAAAATCAAGTTGCATATTTTCAGTTCTAATGTTATTTGAGTTCTGCCATGTGCAAGTGAAAGTTGCAGAACCACTAGAGATATGGATTAAAAGTTATGAGGAAAGCAATGAAAAATAAAATGGAATGAATTCAAAAGGAGTGAAGAAATGTCTGGGCAACTACTAGTATCAACATTTATAAGACAGAGAAGGAGGCACTACATTGGACACATCCAGAGAAGAAATCAACAGAGAATCACCAAACAGGCATTGAAATGGGAAATAAAGGGATTAAGGAGGTAAGAACACCCATAAGAAACCCTAAGACCAGTTGTTGATGAGAGAGGCCAAAGCTGCTGGACTGGATTCTATATATGATATTTAAATGATTATACTGGATAGAACATAATGGAGAAATGGACTGTGCACCCTATGTGACATGTAATGGCTCAACAGGATGAGGAACTTTTTGTTTGTGAAAGTAACTGTAAGAGAACATCAGGCAAGAAGAAGCCTCATACATTGTTCTAGGGGGGGCTGCATGGTCTCGAGGTATAGCATCTGCCTCGAGTCCTAGAGGTCCCAGGTTAAAGTCCTGGTGAAAGCTGGGATTTTTTCACGTGGACTTCTAGTAATTTCCCCTGGTCTCTGGGTAGTAAGATCGGACGCCCATGTGCATTGTTCCATAAGAAGGCTTGGTGGAAGTGGTTGATAACGTCTGCTCTAAAGATTTGTTGTAAGAACTGCAAAGACTTATCATCATCATCAACAATTTTCATTTCTGCCATTAAGTACTGTTGGGAGGAACAGTTTATGATCCATTGCCTGATGGGCAGGAATAGCTTTTGTCATTCCATGTTGATGTAGAAGCTCTTTAATGTCATCAGTCCATATTCTCCTAGGGCAACCTCTTGATTCCACATGAGATCACTCCATGTGTAGTGCCTGCGTTTGTAGTTGTTTTGGCTGCATTCTTCCTAGATGACCAAACCATTTGATCTTCTGTTTCTCAATCCGTTTGCTGCATGGTGTTGTTCCCACAGTCTGTCTGATATCATTTCTAACTTTTCCAGTTTTTTTTTAAAGTATTCAGAAACCATGAATTGGTAACCCTTTGGCTCAGTACTATGGATATCGCAACATTTTAGCCTTGATTCCATGGTAGATACCATAAATCTGGGAGGAATGTGGCTTTTCTGCCTACCACCGGTCGTGAACCCGGACCTCAAGAAGTCGTCACCCGGCCGCCACTGAGTCCGGTTTAGCTAAGTTGGTGGCTTTTTTCTGGCATCTCATTTCATAGGTGTTAATTTTATTTAGTTTAGCCTTAAATAATGTCCAAGTCTGACAATGATAGCACAGTGTTGGTATGAATACGCTGTTTATAGTCTTTTTCTTGGTGCTGATACTTATGTTTAGATAGCTAAATAACGGTGTCACTTAGTAAATAAGTGCACTTGCTCGTTCACATCTGGTTTATCTTTCCCAATCTATTCTCCCGTCCTTTGAGTATATACTTCAGAATAGAGAGAATTAAATGTTATGATAGAATCACTAATGTAGAGCTTGGGGAGTGAACCTAACTGCTTCCAGTGGACCAAGAAGTGAAGAAAATGCGGTGGTGTTGGATAGGACACCTGTTGAGAAAACCTGAGAACATTATAACTACAATGTGTTTGCATTGGAACTCACAGGAGCATAGGAATAAAGGAAGACCGAAAAAACACATGGAGAAGGAAGCTAGAGAGTTAAGTTAAAACTATGGGTAGAGCTGTATGCAATAGCGAAGGGTAGAAAGACTTGGCAGGAGCCAGTTGAGGGCTTATGCCCCATCTGCAAGATAGAAGGCAGAAAAGGAAGATATTTAAATTCTTTAACTTGCTTCAGACAAGTACCATTCAACCCCGAAAAGCGGCTGGCCGAACGGTTGGAATGCTGGGCTCTCAAGCAGGGGGGCAGGGGGACCCGGGTTCGAATCCTCAGTAAAGATGGGGATTTTTTTCTGTCGGGGACAAAATAAAATCCTCACCTGCACAGTTGTGGCCACAGCACTAGCCATGCAGCCGTAAATCCTCAGGTTCAAAGACACACCCCCTGCCTGCACCGCATAAATGGTAATAAAGGCAGTTTTGGCAGTTTTTTTTTTTTGGAAAGGGGGGGGGGGGGGGGGGGGGGGAACTATCCAACCCCATATGTATGAGACTACAAATACCGACGATGAAATATGGAAACGATGTTTATTAGAGCTTGTTATTGTTCTCCGGTCAGCGCCTGTAGCTTAGGTTTTGCGTACGCGCTTTGTGGTGCCGGGTTCGATCCCAGTTGCAGGCCTTGCACCTGCGTTGGTTTCAACAGTGGTATCGAGAAGCCAACCGTCCAGAAAGCAGTGGCAAACTACTGGATGTAAACTTCTGTAGAAAAACCACAACAGCCAAAGAATGCTGGGGTTGGTTCTGCAACGTACTTTAATGAATAGGCAACTAACCTTTTTAAAATTGTACTCCAGGCAAATTCAGATGACCAATCTCTCCATCAGCAGTAATAGAAACAAATGTGTATGTTGGGAGTTATGTAGCATGCTTGGACCTTTCTGTCTTTCCAGACAATAGCGATAGATTCTGCTTTTAGGGTAGCTTGAGAATCACATCCTGTGGCGAGTGAGGTTAGCAAGACCCGTTTACATGAAATGACCTCCCTATGTCAGTTCCGGGGCCCCATTGTGGGGGGAAAACAAGAATAGACCCACTGCCTGCCCAAAAGTATGTCGTAAGAGTCGACTAACTGGGAGATTCCTTCAAAGTTGGAGTATATCTGCCTGAGGGGCAGGGAACCAACAGTTTGCATGCAAATAAGTCAGACCTGTGAATCGGATGTACACGCAACACTCAGGTTCTGAAGCAGGACTGGAGTGCAGAAGTGGATGAACAACCAGAACTTTCCGCTGGAGTTTGCAGCCGGAGAACGCAAAGAAGATTAAAAGACCACAATTATGGGATTTTAGTGCTGTTGTTGCTGTTGCACACACTCAATTTCTTTCTTCTTAAGTTCTTAGCTCTTTACCTATCTGCAATAATTTTTTTCCCATTTATCCCTATCTCTCTCCTAATTTGTTCTCCCTCTATACTATACAGTTTGTGGCGTCCTGTCCCCATAAATCCTATACCTATATCATTCATCTCCCATTTGCACATAATTCATTTGTATCATGTTTGCACACATATCATTCACGTCCCGTTAGCACACATCTATATATTGTTCGCAACCTTGACATTTCTGCCCATCTGTAGTTTACCATAGAGCAGGGCTATTCAACTGATTTTTAATTAAGGGACACAATTTTGTAAAGGGGGATAATGACAGGCCAGAAGCCCCACCCTAGCATTGATACAATACAACTGACATTGATTCGTAGGCCAGCTGCCAGGCTTTGTGGGCCAGATTTGAGTCGTGGGCCACCAGTTTTATAGCCCTACCATGGAGAATGTCCTTAGGGACTTTCCTATCCTCCCTCCTCTGAGTGTATCGTTGCCGTCATCCATGACTAAACATAGAGACAACTATTGTAAAACCTATAGTAAATATGCACTAGATAGTGGTCGTCACAAGAAATCTTTATCCACACTGGGAATCTCTCAATGTCCCCATTCACTTGGATATGTGCTTGTTGTACTATTAAAATATCTTTAAAAACTGTTTGTTTGCTGTTTTTATTTGTTAGTTATCTGTGTTTAAACACCGCATGATGATACTATACCCTATGACTATAACAAAAAATATCTAAAAACATGATATTATACCCTGTTTGTTCAACTTCTTTCCTTTATTGATTATTCTTCTACTTATTTTCTTTCAGTTATTTTCATAGAGTGTTGGGGGAAAAAAAAAAGGGGGGGGGGGGGCGATTGTCTATATGCTGTGTCTAATGTGTTGGTCTACAAATCAACTTTTCTTCTTCTGAATTCTGAGCTCTTGAGTTCCATTGCTGCAGAAATCACCTAAAATATTCCACTGACAGAGATGAGTGAAGGCAGATGGTATCTTCTTTGTTTGCATTTGTAGTCCCAAATGGAGCATAGGCCTGCAATGTAGCTTAGGCCCTCAGCCAACTCACGCCAAGTCTTTCTATCCTTCGATATGCCCGGCTCGCTAGCTTAGTTGGCTAAACTGGATTGCGCGGTGACTGGGTGACGAACTCGTGGTCCGGGGTAGGCAGAAAAGCCACATTTCTCCCAGATTTACGGTATTTACATTGGAATCAAGGCCGAAGAGTTGGGATATCCTTAATACCGAGCCTAAGGGTTAACAACTCATGGCTTCTGGATACTAAAAAAAAAAATCCTTCGCTATTTTATACATCTCCCCCCCCCCCCCCCACCCCCAAAATTATTTTAACTTAACTCTTTAGCTCCCTTCTCCATGTGTGTTTTGTTTGTTTGTCTACTTTTTTTAAAAATTCTCCTATGAATTCAGTCCAAAGACATTCTAGTTATATTGTTCTAGTTATATGTGTGTATGCATGGGTGCATGTATAGATGTATATATATGGAATGCGTGTGTGCATGTATATCCATAAATGTACGTGTGTGTGTTTTGTTTGTGCATTTATTTCTGTGTATGTGTATGCTTGTATATGTATGTAGATGCAGGTGTGTATGTATCGCGTATGTCTGTATATGAGTTCACCTGTATGAAAATGTAGATGTATGTATACGTGTGTGTGAGTGTGTATGATGGCGTACACACGATGTGTGTATGCATTATATATTTCTTTTTAAATCCATAACATGCATTATTGATAACAGATATTAGTACTCTGAAAATGAGTACTTAGAAGGGCCGAATGTCAGACGGGCCTGCGTGCCCAATTTGTAACCCTTTGAAAATAAAGTTTGTTCGTTCGTTCGTTCGTTCTCAGGTTTTCTAACATGTAACCTATCCACCGCTAGCGTCTTTTTTTTCCACCTCTTGGTCCACTGGAACTCGTCTAGTTATCTCCCAAAGCTCTACATTAGTGGTTATATCCTAACATTTAATTCCTCATTCCGCCCAGGTACCAGCTAATTTTTGTTTTTCTCCATGTTTTAAGGGCAATAGCAATGGATAAATATCTTGCAAAAGATAGTTAACGAATCTAGACCTTTCTTCAAACTGTTAACCAAATAAACACAAAACTATGGTATCTGAAACACGTAAATAGTTTTGGTAGCTCAGATGAAGACGTGTGTCGTTCAACCCTACCAGGACCTTTCAACCAGCGACCAACACCCGATGACACAAAGTGCCACCATTCGGATGAGGATCACCCTGGCACAAGCCTTATAAGCCCCATTTAACCATTGGGTTGAATTTGGGCCCCTGACTACACCTGGGGTGAGACTTTAAAATAACAAAAAAAAAACTGAGTCCCACGTAGGGAGGGTAAACAGCTTAGAAAAAGTTTTAAAAATAAAAATATACAAACACGGCGAGTTTTAATATAAACATTGTTATAAAATATCACATTGTATATTTTTTTAATAATATTTTTAAATTGTATCTATAAAAGATCAAAGTTTAAGACAAGTTCAACGCTTTAAATTCTTGCTGGGCATATGACAGTAGAATAGACACAGAGATTGCAACAAGAATCCAATAGTGTCATATGACAGTAGAATAGACAAAGAGATTGAAACATGAATCCAACAGTGTCATGTGTCAGTAGAATAGACAGATTGAAACAAGAATCCAACAGTGTCACATGTCAGTATAATAGACAGTGAGATTGAAACAAGAATCCAACAGTGTCACATGACAGTAGAATAGACAGAGAGATTGAAACAAGAATCCAACAGTGTCACATGTCAGTATAATAGACAGAGAGATTGAAACAAGAATCTAACAGTGTCACATGTCTGTAGAATAGACAAAGAGATTGAAACAATAACCCAACAGTGTCACATGTCAACTGACCCCAGTTTGAAACACCCGGCTATCCTAAAAGAGACAGAAAGACTGCATGGAAAGCAGAACAGACTGAAGAGTTAAATCTGGTGAGACTGACTCCATGGGGAGTGAGCAGAGGTGTAAACTGGTACTCAACGCATAGGGAAAAATATATAGAGCTTTTCTGTCATGTTGACATTGGCATTTTTTAAATATATAAAATAAATCAAAATACCCTATAGATCTAAACTCGAGATATGCACACGAGTCTCTCTCTCTCTCTCTCTCTCTCTCTCTCTCTCTCTCTCTCTCTCTCTCTCACTCTCTCTCTCACACCACACACACACACACTCACACATATCCCCCTTTCCACTCCCATTTCACTACAGCCCCATCCTCTTTTTTCCGTTCCCTCCTCAAAAAGCCTGTAATATAAGAAGCGTACAAATATATATTCCCCTTATTTCCTTGGTTATCTGGTCACCGGTGACTTGCTGTGGCCAGATCTCCTGCATTAGTGTGTGGGCAGACAATCTACTGGAGTGATGAAACGAAAGTTTGAGGGAATCAGCTCTGAAGCTCTGGGGTATAATGATTTATATGTTTCTTTTAGGGTGCACTCAGCACAACCGGCAACGTCACATATTTCTGGGGAACAGAGATAAGAGCAATTGTAGTCCAGTGTGTGGGAAGATTACAGAGGACACACTTGTGGAATAGAGATTAGAGCAATTGTAGTCATGTGTGTGGGAAGATTACAGAGGATACACTGGGGAACAGAGATTAGAGCAATTGTAGTCATGTGTGTGGGAAGATTACAGAAGATACACTGGGGAACAGAGATTAGAGCAATTGTAGTCAAGTGTATAGGAAGATTACAGAGGATACACTGGGGAATAGAGATTAGAGCAATTGTAGTCATGTGTGTGGGAAGATTACAGAGGATACACCGGGGAATAGAGATTAGAGCAATTGTAGTCATGTGTGTGGGAAGATTACAGAGGATACACTGGGGAATAGAGATTAGAGCAATTGTAGTCATGTGTGTGGGAAAATTACAGAGGATACACTGGGGAATAGAGATTAGAGCAATTGTAGTCATGTGTGTGGGAAGATTACAGAGGATACACTGGGGAATAGAGATTAGAGCAATTGTAGTCATGTGTGTGGGAAGATTACAGAGGATACACTGGGGAATAGAGATTAGAGCAATTGTAGTCATGTGTGTGGGAAGATTACAGAGGATACACTGGGGAATAGAGATTAGAGCAATTGTAGTCATGTGTGTGGGAAGATTACAGAGGATACACTGGGGAATAGAGATTAGAGCAATTGTAGTCATGTGTGTGGGAAGATTACAGAGGATACACTGGGGAATAGAGATAAGAGCAATTGTAGTCATGTGTGTGGGAAGATTACAGAGGATACACTGGGGAATAGAGATTAGAGCAATTGTAGTCATGTGTGTGGGAAGATTACAGAGGCCACAATCACATAAAATATCTCTGTGTGGGTTTTGTGGCCCCATTTAACGGGGAGGGGGGGGGGGGGAATAGACTCACTGCCTGTCCCCACAAAAGCATGTCGTACAGAGCGACTAATGATTGCTGTTTCCTCCAGAGTGCGTCTGCCCGAGAGGCGTACAAGCAAAAAAGTCTGCTTACATATAAATCAGATCTGTAAAACAGCTGTGCACGTAACGCTCAAGTTCTAGAAAAAGACCAAAGTCTGGAAGTGGACGGACAACCAGAACTTTCAGCCGGAGTTTACAGCCGTCGGATGCTAAGAAGAAGAAGAAATTATCATCATGTGCCATGCCACCAAAGCGTAGGCTATACTGCTTCGCCATCTCACGCGATTACTAGAATCACTGATCAGGTCAATGTTCTTGTCTCGCCCCTCCCCCCTAATCCATATAGCCAAACTATCGAAGTGTTTATCTCTTTGTCTTCACTTTGCTCGTTTTTTCATCAATCATGCCAGTTGTCACCACATCCTCGTGTGCATAGCTTCTCGTTAACTGTAGCCAATGAAATAATTATTGGCAATATGGAAAGACACAAATGCACCATCAAGTGTATCATCATCAATAGTTCCTCACTGCACGAACGTTGGGTCACTAGTTGCTGCTGGTTGTACGGCCAGCTGTCTCCACCTCTGTCGCTCGGATGCATGAGACTTGTGAGTTATGAGTTAAAAAATCGACATCAGAGCGCTTGAGACATTCTCATAAACGCGCCGTTCCCATCTTCAGCAGCAAGCGCAGTATTCTAAAACTTATTGTACCAGTAACCGTCTGTATGTCTGGGAAAGGGGGGGGGGGCGGGTGCCTAGTTGACCCTGTTCTTGGTGCACTTGTTTCCAAATCGAGGCGCACACGCCTGCTGGAGGTGACAGGTTCAATTCCTGGCACGGTAACCATAGCTTTCGATTTTTATGTTGTCTAGTGTGTTCTTCTATCTTTCTACTTTTTTCTATGAGTACCGATAAATACATTTTGAGTTACTTTTTTAATATATATCATTTACCAGGCGTTGTAATACTAAGTGACGTCCATTTGCTTTTGCCATGAATCCCTGTGCACTTCTTCTACCTCTCAGTACATAGCTATCTGTATTTATAATTATATCACCTGGATGGGAATTGTCATGAATAATTTGTTGCAGCGGTGACATTACCTAACCCACCAAAAGACTAAAACATTAATACGTCTAGTAGCAAAGAAATGTGGTCGGATACACACATCAAATTTCCCCCTGAAGACTCGCTTAATCGCCTCTTTAGTGTTATATTCAGACTAAGGACAGGGCACAACAAACTTCGTCAACATACGTGCACAATTGTTGGTGTAGGAAATACGGAGATGTATCACTGTAACTAGGCAACATAAAATTCTGAGCATGCGCTCCAACCTGTCAACTGAATGCTACCAGCACACAATCTGGCCTGTTCTTACTATAATAAATTCAAAGCTGTATGATGCACGAGGAGATTTGACTGCACGATATCTTTCATAAAGGCTACCGGATGAGTTTTTAGACAGAATGATCGAAGAAGAGGAAGAAGAAGATTGGTTGTATTAGACATGTTTGCATAGCAAGTGTATGAGAAATCAAGTGATTTCAAATCAGCAGTATCTAATTTTTAATGTTGGTTCAAAGCTACTGTTTATTTGATTATGATGAAAGAATGATGTCTAATACCTTTAACAGTTCTCTTGTTGTCTGATAGATATGAGGCCATGTATATTGCAGCAGCAGCAACTGACACTGGGTTTCGTCTGTTAAAGAAAGGAACATCCCTAGAATTTATATGTAGTGGCTATATATTATTGTGGTGACAACTGACAACCTTGATCGGAAAAAGTAAGTGCAGGACACAAACATATACCTGGATGGTTTGGTTACTTCTTCTTCTTCTTCAGCGATAACTGGTCATGCGCATAATCCACTGTGGGTCATAAACTGGGATGTCTTTTCAGGGTCTCTTAGGTTTCCCCAAAGCTTAGTTGTCAGTTCTACTGGGTGTTGCCATATGTCGCTCCGCAGCTCCGCCAGGAGAGGACAGTCTTGCAGGACATGTTCTGGAGTCTGTTCAGCACGAAGACACTGGCAGAGAGCTGTTTGGCTCATACCTAAGTTATCTCAGTGTCCAGTGCGTAAGCGAAAAACTGTGACTTGGTCTGTTCTGTTCAAGTGTTCCAGAAAATCTTTTCCGTAGTTATAACCAGTGTTGTTTTTCCAATCTGTTTCTGATTTTCTCTTAATGAGAGTTTTGACTTCTGGAAAAGATAGTGGCTGGTAGGTCTGTGATTTGTTACTGCCTTCCTTGGCTAAAGCATCTGCGCTTTCATTGCCTTTGATGCCACAGTGAGATGGAATCCACTGCAAGTGAATTTCTGCCTTATTTGACAACATAGCAAGTTCCTGTGTTAGACTTTGTAGTGTGCTGTCGGTAGGTTTGGACTCAAGGGCCTGTATAGCTGACAATGAGTCAGTGAGAAAAACTATCCTGCCTGAGGTGATTTGCAGATTGTTCATATGGTTTGGTTACAAGGATGGGACAGTACAAGAACAACGATCTGATGCCATAGTATGATGATCGAGTGGTTTGGCCGAAGGGATAGGGCAGTGCAAGAACATTGATCTGATCCCTGAGTCTGGTGATCGTGTGATTTGGCCACATGGATGCGGCAGTACAATACCATTGATCTGATTTCTGAGTCTGGGGATAATCTGGTTTGACCACAATCATAGGGCAGAGAAAGAACATTAATCTAATCCCTGATTATGGGGATCATGTGGCTTGGCTGCAAGGATGGGACAGTAAAAGAACATGGATCTAATCCCCGAGTATGTGATCGTGTAGTATGAAGAACCATGACCGTTTAGTCATACCAGCATGCGACATGTGTTTGGTACCTTTCTGACTTTCTAGACTAGTGGTTCTTAACCTTCCTAACGCCGCGACCCTTTAATGCAGTTGCTCGTGTTGTAGCGACCCTTTAATGCAGTTACTCGTGTTGTAGCGACCCCCACCCCCTTTTCCCACCAACCATACAATTATTTTCGTCGCTACTTCATAAATTCATTGAAAATTTGTTTTACGATGGTCTTAGTCGACCCCTGTGGAAGGGTCGCGACCGGCAGGCTGAGAACCGCTGTTCTGGGCGATAGTGTTCCACTGTGTCAGAGAGAGGCGTTGGAATCACAGCCGGAGCAAAGGCGCGTATAACTAGCAAGATCGGCCCGCGTTAAAAACAATCTTCCACAATCCGACCCGCGTTGAAAACAATCTTCCACAATCCGACCCGCGTTAAAAACAATCTTCCACGCTAAGTGTACGAGACTGCAGAACCATTGTTGTCGTCACGTGCATTCGACACCACCCACGTGCGGGGCTGTTCTTAGTATGATGCAAGTATCCCAAATTCCGCCCCTAATGGCTCCCGGCTGTCACATTAATAGTTCAGACTATTTTAATTTCTCTGCTTATGCCGCCTCTCCCCCAAACCTCCTTTACGGTGCCGCTTGATGCGGTCGCTTGTTGGTATCAGTGCAAGGCACACATGGCGCGCCTCTGTTTGACATAGTCCAGCTCAGGTCACGAATTATCTTGCGTTGTCTTCCTCCGTTTTCTCTTCCCCATATATCTTTCCAGTGGTTACAAAATGTTTACGTGTCTTCCTTCTCATATCACTGAAAAGTGATGACTGTCTCTTTCTTATGTTTATAATTAGTTATCATTGAGTCCTTACTTTAGTTGCGTATCCTTTACAGGACGTTGCAGAATCAACCCTAACAGCCCCTTGCTGTTGTGTGGTCTCTCTAGGCAAATGTACGTCCAGTAGTTTGCCATTGCTTTCTGGACGGTCGGCTTTCTTGATACCACTGTCGAAATGAGTCCTTACTGCATCTCCCAAATATATATAATATATAGAGTTTCTTCACGCCTCGCAAATGTGTTTTTACAGAGGAATTCTCCGAATTCCCTGGGCGGAAAAAAAAATCCCAGCAATCTAGATGTTTTGAGAGATGCAGCAAGGACTCAGTGATAAGTTATTTTAAACATAAAAAAGAGACAGTATATATATATATATATATATATATATATATATATATATATATATATATATATATATATATATTTATGTACGGTATATCGATGCCTAAAATAAAACATTAATAACTATATACTGAATGCAGGAAACAAGGACATTCCTTACGCAGATATCAAACCCAGCTCCTTTGCCTTGTCTGCAATACGTTTGGCGGCTTCCTGTACCGTCCCTGGCAAGCTCAAAGTCCTGCAGAAGCGAGACTGAGAATAAATAGCAAAAGATCTTCATTTTAGTGGCCGAAAAAGCTAAAGCTAAGTCGCAAAGTTAACTTCTGCTGATCATTTGTGCCTTCTTACAATTTATCTGTTTGTTTATCATGTTCGTTTTTACAGTCTGTGTAGTATGGCGTCGGTAATCGTATCTGGCCACAGACCTCATATTCGTGTAATAATATTTTTCTTTTATCAGGAGCGACAGAACATGGAATGGAAAAGAGGAGGGTGGGTTGGGGGGGGGGGGGGATACGAGTGTACCCGGATATGAGTTGTTTTTTGTTTGTTATTTCTTCAGAATACGAGGTCATTTCGCCAATATTTTTTTGGCCCCAGGAAACGAGTCGGAGAATTGAAAACATACGCTATAACCTGACAGCATATTGTTCACTTCTACATGGATTCTGTCACGGCCTTACATTGCTAAAGGAAGACTTAAGCCAGACGACGAGGTACTTGACAATGACGGACTTGCAGAAGAGTCGGAAGTCACACCCTTCTACGTTTGCCACATTTTTCCTGTTAGCGAAAGGAAAAACATCGTTACCAGTAGCTGGTTGTGTGTGTGCGAGTGTGTGCACGCGTGCGTTCGTGTGTGTGTGCGTAGGCACGCGCCTGTGTGTGTATGTGTTTTAGATTTGGCACGAATGTAAATTATTTACCTTGATTTTAACGGAAAAGTATTTTTCAGGATACGAATTATTCGCCATACGAGTTCAGTTGTGGAACGGATTAGGCTCGTATCCAGAGGTTACACTGCATAGTCTTACACAGATGTAAGTGTAATATAAACGTGTATGTTGAGAGTCTTGAGAATATACTTACCATGAAATCTCCGGTACTGATAAGACCAACGCAGGTCTTAAGATTGTTCAAGATAATCCTGTAATGGCGACCAATTTCCTTTACACTGGTTTGTGACACGGCACAGATTTCTGCAATGGGCGGACAATAATATTCACAAGTTACGGTTGTTATAAAAGGGACTGGAACAGAGATGTCAAACCATCCTGGGTTGGTTGCGGGGGCCCCATTGTGGGGGGGGGGGGCGGGAACAAGAATAGACCCACTGCCTTCCCAACAAGCATGTCGTGGGAGTCGACTAATTGGGGACTTCCTTCGAAGTCGAAGTGCATCTGCCCGAGCAGCAAGGAACAACTAACTCCACACAAAAAGCCAGTAAAACAAATGTACAGGCAAAACTCAGGCCCTGGCACAAAGCCAAATTCCAGATGGACGAACAACCCTGGCTTTGGACCGAAGCTTTTAGCCGGGAACAAAGAAGAAGAAGAAGATGTCAAACACTCAGTCAATCAATCAGGTGTCGTCTCCACGGTGAAGGTTGCCTGCAATGGATCTCCAACACTTTCTGTTTCTTGTCCTGGTTGTACACTCTCTCAGACTGCTGCCCGTCCATCTCTTGATATTGTCCTCCCACTTGTATCGTTGCCTACCTCCCAATATGGTTTTTTAAAGTGTGTTATGTTTTTTAATGTGGCCAAAGAATTTCAACTGTCTCTCTTTTTTATTTCTGTCAGTAATTCTATTTCATGTGTAGCCTTTCCAGAACCTTTGTGTTGGACTGATACGACCTGTTCTGTGGTATGCCCACATCTCCAGAGACTCAGTTAGATTTCCTATTTGCTTGGTTATTGTCGAAATTTCTGCACCATATAGCAGGACTGAGTGTACATAACATTTGACAATTCTCATTTTTAGTGAGTTGTTTATCTCTCCAGCTGTCAGTAACTTGCGCATCTTATTGAAGACAGTTTTAGCCATTCCTTTTCTCTTTTTGATTCCCGTTTCGCTTTTTCCGTCATCTGTTACTATGTGTCCTAGATAGGAAACAAACTTGTTAGAGCATAATCTAGTCACCTCCTTGTGAGATGCAATTTTTTCGTTATTTGAAGCCCTACCCTGGCTCTTGCCAGGGGCCGCAATATAGGCCTGTCATAAATATGGTCTAATGGCTGAACGGGGTTTTTGTGACCTCTACACGGGTGATCCTCATCCACATGGTGGCACTTTGTGTCATCGGGTGTTTATCGCTTGTGTGATGTCCTGGTGGGGTAAAAGAATATAGACAGACAGACAGACAGACAGACAGACAGACAGACAGACAGACAGACAGACAGACAGACAGACAGACAGACAGACAGACAGACAGACAGACAGACAGACAGACAGACAGACAGACAGACAGACAGACAGACAGACAGACAGACAGACAGACAGACAGACAGACAGACAGACAGACAGACAGACAGACAGACAGACAGACAGACAGACAGACAGACAGACAGACAGACAGACAGACAGACAGATAGATTAGATAGATAGATAGATAGATAGATAGATAGATAGATAGATAGATAGATAGATAGATAGATAGATAGATAGATAGATAGATAGATAGATAGATAGATAGATAGATAGATAGATAGATAGATAGATAGATAGATAGATAGATAGATAGATAGATAGATAGATAGATAGATAGATAGATAGATAGATAGATAGATTAGATAGATAGATAGATAGATAGATAGATAGATAGATAGATAGATAGATAGATAGATAGATAGATAGATAGATAGATAGATAGATAGATAGATAGATAGATAGATAGATAGATAGATAGATAGATAGATAGATCGATCGATCGATCGATCGATCGATCGATCGATCGATCGAGATCGATAGATAGATAGATAGATAGATAGATAGATAGATAGATAGATAGATAGATAGATAGATAGATAGATAGATAGATAGATAGATAGATAGATAGATAGATAGATAGATAGATAGATAGATAGATAGATAGATAGATAGATAGATAGATAGATAGATAGATAGATAGATAGATAGATAGATAGATAGATAGATAGATAGATAGATAGATAGATAGATAGATAGATAGATAGATAGATAGATAGATAGATAGATAGATAGATAGATAGATAGATAGATAGATAGATAGATAGATAGATAGATAGATAGATAGATAGATAGATAGATAGATAGATAGATAGATAGATAGATAGATAGATAGATAGATAGATAGATAGATAGATAGATAGATAGATAGATAGATAGATAGATAGATAGATAGATAGATAGATAGATAGATAGATAGATAGATAGATAGATAGATAGATAGATAGATAGATAGATAGATAGATAGATAGATAGATAGATAGATAGATAGATAGATAGATAGATAGATAGATAGATAGATAGATAGATAGATAGATAGATAGATAGATAGATAGATAGATAGATAGATAGATAGATAGATAGATAGATAGATAGATAGATAGATAGATAGATAGATAGATAGATAGATAGATAGATAGATAGATAGATAGATAGATAGATAGATAGATAGATAGATAGATAGATAGATAGATAGATAGATAGATAGATAGATAGATAGATAGATAGATAGATAGATAGATAGATAGATAGATAGATAGATAGATAGATAGATAGATAGATAGATAGATAGATAGATAGATAGATAGATAGATAGATAGATAGATAGATAGATAGATAGATAGATAGATAGATAGATAGATAGATAGATAGATAGATAGATAGATAGATAGATAGATAGATAGATAGATAGATAGATAGATAGATAGATAGATAGATAGATAGATAGATAGATAGATAGATAGATAGATAGATAGATAGATAGATAGATAGATAGATAGATAGATAGATAGATAGATAGATAGATAGATAGATAGATAGATAGATAGATAGATAGATAGATAGATAGATAGATAGATAGATAGATAGATAGATAGATAGATAGATAGATAGATAGATAGATAGATAGATAGATAGATAGATAGATAGATAGATAGATAGATAGATAGATAGATAGATAGATAGATAGATAGATAGATAGATAGATAGATAGATAGATAGATAGATAGATAGATAGATAGATAGATAGATAGATAGATAGATAGATAGATAGATAGATAGATAGATAGATAGATAGATAGATAGATAGATAGATAGATATTTTGGAAGCACGCAATTAGCTTTTCATGTTGCACCCTGTCAGAAGGCCTTCTTGTAATCTAAGAAACATGCATAAATATTTTTCTGGACTTCTATATATTTTTCAGTCAGCATCTTTAAACAAATTATGGCTTTCCTAGTGCCATTTTTTTCTTCTAAATCCAGACTGTTCCTCAGACACTTCATTATTTATTTTACTTTGAATTCTTTCTTGAATGATCTTGAGAAGTATTTTCATTATATGGCTCATCCAGCTGATTGTTCTATGATCTTCACAATCAACGGCTTTCGACTTTTTGTGCAGTGTGATGAAAGACGTTTTAAAATCCTTTCGAATGTAGCCAGTATTATGAATATCATTACAAATTACAGTGAAGCTACCAACGCCAAAGCTTGATAAACACTGAGATACTGGAAAGAGTAAGAATCACAACAGCTGTCTCAATGCTCACCCCGGCAATAGTGTTGAAAATGTGATGAAATATGATTTAGGAGGGGGTTAAATGAAGAATGCATACATTCAGACCAGCATTAATGCATGCCAATCCATCACTGGGTGGCATGAGATAAAACAGTGATTAGAACGCTGGTCAGACAAGGCCAAACAGATAAACTAGTAACCTTTGGGGGAGTACCAGTATCTATATTATACTAAGTTCCGAATTAGGCACATCTATTTCTGGGAAATGTGAAAGACGCAACTGTGTCACAAGTATATAGATAATTTGGTACCGTGACCAGCGACAGTCTCGTTTACATCGACATCTTTAAAAAGCAAGACTGCTGGTACAACAAACAAAGTAAGCAAGAGAACAAGAACTAAACGAACGTCGATGATTTTACCTGACCAAGGAAAAATGTCGAAAAACCATTCAACAGAATAGAGAGAGAGAAGTAAACCAGACCAACAGCCTGCACCATTCAACGACTCAATCTGGGTGAGATCATACCCCATTTGAGGTAACATCGGGGACCGCTCTACGACTGGATCCGAGCGAGATTAGCTTAATTCCAGTTTTCAACACTTACCATCTACACTAGAATCCGGGGAGACGAGCCCGTTCTAGCCTGGATCCATAGAATATACTTAAAAAAAAAAAAAAAAACTTTACACATTCGGAAGACTGGAAGAAAGTCAAGAACATACATCAATAGATTGTGAAATAAGTCCGACTCTAGGAATATAAGAACTGTGAGCTGTCCGATTCTCAAAATAGGAACTGCAAAATAAGCGCGATTCTAAAGAACAGTGAACAATAACTATAGTAAAATATATTGTTGTTTTTAATTTGCAGTGGTGTAGGGAAAACCTTTTCTATGATTTCCTACTTTTCTTTTTAACTTAGAAAATCTTTCCAGGACAGTGCCGATTTTAATTGCAGTGTTACCAGCGTTGTGTTGTTAAAAAAAAAAAAAAAAAAAAAATGTTTTTTTAACAACAACCCAAAAAAAAAAAAAAAAAAATCAAGAAATACCACACCCAACAAAGTATTTTTAGAACATTTTTTTTTTAAATTTAATTTTAGTTTACATTAGTTAATTTCCCAGGTTTTTAAAATGGCCTATCAATGAACATTGGCAGCGCAGTTTATCAGAGTTTTTAATGAAGTAGTACAGTTAGGTAGAAAACTCCGTATTCCATTTTTTATAGAACATAAAAATGTTCAGCATTGGTCAACAGTAGCTAGTCGTAGACAGAGATAGAAAGAAACAAGAAGTTATAACATAGCAACAGTTACTAGCAATAATATCGCTGTTAACCGATTTTCCTGTTACAAGACTAAGCAAAATTATGCTGTTGTAATATAAATGCAGATCTCCAAGTTTTATCGGGGGAAGTTAGAGCAATCCTGCAGTATATGCTCAGATGATCTCTGCCTGCTCCCCATTTACAGGTTTCAGATTCGTTTATGCTTGCCTTGTGTATGTGTGCTCCGAGTCCACCGTGTCCTGTCCGAAGTCTACAGTTTGTTGTTTGTTCTTTCGTGGTTTGTTTATGCTCTCTGGTCTGCAGTCTCCAATCTGCCTTCTGTACTCCCCATTGAAGGACTACTTTAGGATGGTTTTGGTTTCTTTGTAACTCTGTGGTGGATGAGGTTGTGCACAATTACACTCATCTCTTCTTGCCAGCTCATCTGCCTTCTCATTTCCTGGAAAAACACAGTTAGCTGGAATCCATTACAGGATCAGTTCCGCTGTCTTTGAAAGTAAATCGGCGTTGGGCACCAGAACTACAATTTCTGTGTCTTCTGTTCTGCTTGACAATGCCTAGAGAAGTCAGATTTTAAATCGGGTTTACAGCTATATATTATGTTACTATTCTTTGCTTCCATAATCGGCCTAGGCGGGAGTAATGAAAATGGCAATCTAGCTGATAGCAATAAATTCATTAAACATAAACTTTGACTTGAAATCTGATCCAGGTGGTTTGGGAAGAAAGGAATAAACTTACAGAGGAACAAACGTTTCGACGGAAGTCGTTTTTATTCTAAACATCAGTTCCCACACGGGGTGGGGCAAAGGGGGTGGGGGAGAGAAAGAGAGGAGGAGCGTCACGTGACTAGCCAGCAATAAATGGGCTGTTATTGTTGCTCACTCACCTTTGAAACTTCTTGGAACGTTGTCTTCCCGACAAGCGATGTACAAGGAGGCAGACACGGTCGCCTCTACGTTGTACCCTTTCAGGATTTTGCTTTCGTAAATCTGTTTAAACAGCGTGTTTGCGCGGTCCTGCAACGTCATATGTTTAACTAGTTAGTCGATAGATTTTCCTCGCTGCAAATCGAGCCATTGCATTCAGTCTAATAGTGATATAGATAATCTATTTCAAGCGAACGAAAAAAAAAAAAAAAGAAGAAGACGACGAAGAAGAAGTCCAATAGTACTTGGATCCCGTCTGTAAACCCCACATTATGTAGCGGCTGACGACACCGGTCCTATGTTAGTTTCTTATTCTTCTTTGGCTACATGCATAATGCTCTTGCCAGGCCACACCTCTTATAACTAGCTGCTCATGAAGTCTGGTCATGGTTGCAGATTCAGTCACTTGGTTCTCGCAAACGTCTTACTTCTCGTAGAGCATTCAGTATATCAGTCAGGTCCATGGCTCATTCGACCTCCATAGTAGCTTTACCTGCAAACATACCATCATCATGCAGCAAGTCCTTTGCAGAACGTCGCTCTCATCACAGTCTGCCTGAAAGAAACTCGGTCTCTCGCCAGTTTTCCCGTCTCATGCATTTTCATACTCAAGGAGTCACTTATATCCTGTGCCCATCTTCGTGTCGGTCGGCCCCTGCTCCTTCTTCCTGATACCATGCCTTCTGCTATAATTTTTTCCAATCCGTCGTGGCACTTGATATGACCAAAATATTTCAGATTTCGAGAAAGGATGCTGTTTATTAGCCAATCTTCCTTGATGACAAACATACCAGCTTGCCCATTTTCCTGCACGGCGTGCCTGGGCATGAAAATGAAACAGATATTTATCAGCCCCGACCGCCTCAGAGACACCAACAACTCTCTTTCTTCGGACACGAGCTGATACAAGCAGTTGCGGGTCGATGATGTGAAGGGGCATGATCGCCCACGCCAGTCGTTGGCGATGATGATGAATATTGTGCTGTATTCTTTATAAACGAAAGACACAAACCAAGAAGTTTAGGAAGAAATCTGGGGGACGGGGAAGGAAAGCCTGTCATATCCTTCAATAAACTTTTCAAAGGGTTAAAAAAAAATATTAGTGAAGATGCCAGGGCTTGAACTCGGGGCCTTTCACATGCAAAGCGAACGCTCCACCACTGAGCTACATCCCTGCATCTCTGTGTTCCTGAGCATATTCACTGAGTCACCGAGAAAGTCCCTTAGGCCATGTTACTGCTGAGATCACTGTGATATGTTTCCATTGCTTGTTCAAACATGATCAACCGCCTTGATGATAATCACCCATAATATTATATTATTAGCATATCGTCAATATTTATGGCTTAGACGAAAGATGACCATACTATTTTGTGCTGAGAAAGCGACATACAAAGCAAGGCACGCTCCCCTTTTTTTCCCAACACCCACCCCCCCCCCCCCCAAAAAAAATATAGAATTTATGGTAAGTCTGACGTTAGTTTGACGTTGGTCTCCCCTAATAGAGTTGGTCGCTTTCATTCACAACTTTGTTTGTGCTG